TATTAAAAACCTTAGTAGCAATGATGTTGTTTCTAGTTTGGACGAGATTAACTCATGATAAAGTTGCTGAAATCTACTGAAACAAATATGAATCTTTCTAAAATTTGAAGGTCAACTGAGTTTATAATTATACAACCTCTTTTCGATTCAACAGTATAACTAACAAAGCACTAATCACACACAGGTTATATAAATCCATCATTACTACTTTTCTTTTATTATTTTTTTAGCTAAGCGACGCAATTTAGTAAGCTAAATGAAACTTACTGCCGTTGAATATGATACCTTTGCAATTAATAGTATATTCGAATTGAACTTCCTATAAATCCCTTTTAGTCACATGGGGTGTGGGTGTATGTGAATGTGAAATGCGCGAAGATAAGCACCCCCAGTCAGATTCACAGCCATAGCCATATACATACTCCCACCCACAGCCTAACCTGCACCCACACTCTATGGATTGAGCATCTATAATAGGATGTCAGGTGCGACCCTCATGCAATGACTCCTAAATCGATTCAATTCCATAAACAAGTATTATTTCAACACACACTGACACTGTTCTACCGAAATAGAATGAGGGTGTGAATGTGCGTGGGTACATGGACTAATACTACAAAGATTCAAAGCATCATATGACATACTCTAAGTATCGCTTAGATACTCAGCATCATGTATGTTTGGAATCTAATACGGAACAGGAAGACTACAGATTAGAAGACCTCACCATTTGAAATTTATTTCATTTGCTAAGTCGAAGTATGTGCAACGCGAAAAATAAGTATCAAATATTGTATATTTGAATCAGGATCAAAGAGAGATGATGAATATTAATTTTTGATTTTGACTGTGGAACTTATTTTATTGATTATGGATTGGAAGAGAAAGATGAATTTTCTTTTCTTTTATGAAATATACACATTCAAGCTGACTAAGCATTTATATAAAATATTTTTTCGTTCGTATGCCGTTTTTGTTGTGCCTAAATAGCTAATGTCGTTGTAGCTCTTGATTGCGGGTGTGGGTAATCAAAAGAATCACACCGACATCTATAGCAACATCGTTTTGTATTAGATGTTCATGACAGTGTTTTCTTGACGTCCAAATAATCCGGATTATATTTTGACACTGACTTATTGTCAACAGCTGGCTTTATTTCATTTGACTATCTATGTTACTCAATAATATTTTGCTGATATGACTCATCTAATACCACACTTGTAAAATACGTCTCGTTGTATCGCATGTAAAAAATACATTTTTTTTCTCTCTTCACTACCTATGCCACTCGTTTTTTTTGCCAATAATAATGTGAAGAACGCAAGAAAAAATGATGTTAATTTCATGCGTCATTCAAAATAAATCGAGCAGAAGAAGAAAAAAATTATGCACATTTATTCTTGTTACTAACTATTTCAGAAGCACGATATGGTAGTGGACAACGTTATCTTTAAGACTTTCGATCAAGCATTGCCAAAACTAGAACGAAGAAATGTTTCTGTGCTGACTATAGTGATATTGGCCTATGTATTGCTGATTGTAGGAAGTTCTCTGTTATTTGTCAGCGCCGTTGTTAGCCTAGGCTTCATGTCGTATGAACCTGACATTGTCGATTGGTTTTTGATAATAACTGTTTGTATCGCTGTTAGTACTTTCATCTTCGTCGCCGGCAGTTGGTGCATGTGGCATGAAATAAATAAACTGAATCGAGCCAGATCGACGCATTCTATCGTCACGTGTCATTCAAAATTAATCGAATGGCAATACGATGTAGACGAATGGGATAGGTAATTGTACAAATATAAACAAAAATGATAGTGTTTAGTAGTTCTTTCTTTCCAACAACAATGCTTCTATGATAGACATTATAAAATGATAGATCAAAAGAATTATTTCCTATTTTCGACCATTTGATTTTTACAGAACTAATTCTTTTCTTCTCGTGGTCAATCAGATTAGAAAACTTGAGATAGTTTCATGACATTCAAGAACTATTGAAGGGTTTATTCGTCGTGTTGCACTTCGTAAGAGATTTTAGTATGTTCATGACTAATTATTCAACAGACTTGCTAAATTATGGCGTCTTCGATAAGTAATTTTTTTTTCTACACTTGAAATAAACGCATTAATGTGCTTCTAGATATGTGACATATATTTGTAACAATCAACGTTTGGTCTCTCCATTAGCTTGGTGGTGCTATAGTCGATACAGACAACTCGTACGTCGAATTATTTGTAATCGTAATGGCGGTCATATAGTATTATCTAAAATGGGTGTACTTGCTGACGATCTATTTGTTGTCCATTTTCGTCCAAATGGACTCATATTTAGTCAGGCTCAGTTGTTTGACATTGATCAACAACCCATATTACGCTTACATTTACTTGCTCTTCGAAAAACACAAAACGACTTACCAATATATGCTCCATGTCATGTCGATATTTTCGTACCTCATGCAATACAAGAGACCAAGAAAAGTCTCGCATTACTTGTCGATTCTTTAAACGATAACTTATCAATAGTAGATGACAGTGACACTATGCATTCCAAGAAAATCCTAGAAGATTTCGGGGAAAAGACAAAAACAATCGACGTTTGATTCATTTTTGTATCGACTATACTGCACTCGAACCAAAAAACGTAAAAGTCCTTCCTATTGCTTTGCATATATTCATTTACACAAGCGTTTTTTTTTATTGCATTCATTATTGACATTTGTAAATATCTAAAAAATATATGTTAGCCAGTAACTATTGTCGGCGCCAGAAGTAGATGGGGAAAACTGTGAGAGGAATATCTCCCGAACGGATGCAGCTAGCGAGCTAACTTTTTCACCATCAGAAACAGGACAGTCTGGGGCATAAGTGTATGCTATATTCAGGCGGTTGATGTTTGATCAAGGTTGTTAGTTGTAATTGAAGATTTTGTGCGTCACAGAATAAAAACGTTTTTCTTATGAGTTCTCAACTTCAAGATAATCATTCGATAGCATAAGGTCTCCTTTTTTTAAAATTTTCACAAACTCGACCTTTCTATCACTCACCGTTCAAAAGTTATCCTCGTTACACTGAGCGTCTTTAACGCGTCAAAAATACGATTTTTTTCGAGAAAAGTGCCTTATTATTGTATATTCGTGAAGGTTTTCAATCATACTGTGTTGAACGATGGAGACTGAAGTGTCATGCCGATATGATTTACTTTGATCACGACTGAGTTTTATCATTCCTCCTAACTTTGATACAGCTAGTGCTTCCTGCCAGCCATTTTCTCTTTTATTTTGCTGTTTCCAATGATTGTGAATCTATTACAAAGAAAAACGTATGAAAAAAGAAATCAGTCTATGTGTTTTCATCACTGGTATCGAAAAGATTATCGACCTCGACATTCGAGTCGTCATCAATTAATTGTGGCTCAATAGTGTTCTCTAAAAATTCATCCGCTGCTTTATACATAGCTTCAAGTTTTTTAGCATGACAAATTGCACCTTGCGCAAGCTTGTTATCAAAGCCAGCGATGAATTTGGCGACTAATTCATAAAGATTGTTCATTGAAAAGATAGTATTGTTTTTATGAACATAGTCCTTCAATCCGGACCAGAAGATCTCAACCGGATTTTATGAACAATGACGCATTGGCAAACGCAATATTTGTACATTAAATTCTTGAGCGATCTCGTCGAGCTAATTATCATAAATTCAAAGCATATAAGTAACATAGAGGGTGTTTTGTGTGGGTGTGAGCGTGGTTGTATAAAGGTGTCGCTGGAGAGATGAGTGAGACCCAGAGCCACACCTGCCCTCGACGTCATAGGTTGTCATTTTAAATAGTATATAATTTAAGTAGTATATGTGCATACAGGAAAATGAGTAAAACCAAGTTATTTTATGTAAATGAAGGCATTAAATAAAACAGAACAGTATTCCTGAGAGCAGAATATTTATCAGGCTCGTTCAACACACTAATTTAAAATGTGTCGCAAGTGTCGTGTTTTGCGACACATTGTACGACACATTAGAGTGCGACACAAGGAGCTCACTGCGACACATTTTCTCCAGCAGGACCACGACACATTTCGTACGACACATGCGACACATTTTCTATTGGTCCTTTTGGAAAATCATATTTCGATGTTTTTTTTTCAATTTAATTCCATTTAATTATTCCTATTCTGTAAATTCAAGCTGGTCAGATCCTGGGATCTGTCCAATCTCGAGTTGATCTGATTTGTATCAGACCGCTTCAGAGTAGTCCTCTCACGATCATAGATCGAGATTGGCATTTTCTCGATAAAAAAAATAATCGAAAAATAATCTAGAAAATAAAAATAATTTGAAATTTTTTTTCTATGTTAAACCACGTTGTTTATATATGACCATGTGTGCATAATAAAACGGTGAACGAATAGTCAGCAGACGGAACGCGACAAATTCGTATACGACACATTCAAAGCACGACACATTTTTCTGCTGGAGTGTGCGACACAATAATTCACGACATATAAACACGACACATTTTTTATTTAGTGTGCACAGAAGAAGATCAATCAGACATTTATCACAGTATAAAAATGCTTAGAATTTATAATTGGAGAGTAGTCTAAACAACAACCAGAGCGAACATTCCACTGAAATAATTTTCTAGTAGCCTACGCAAATGTATAGCATGCTCGGATATCTCCATTTATCAATAAGTAGTAAAAATTCATGGGATAAAAAAAAATAATATTGGTGATGGTGCATTATCCTACCAAGTCTAAATGGTTTGATCCGTTTGAGATCAAATCCAAATCTGACCGAGACATTAGATATCAATACTGGATCCAAATCTAAATCTTAGAAATCAAATCCAAACTCAACTGCAAACATTAGATATCGAATTCAAATCCGAGTCCAAACGAAATCCAACTCTAAATTCAAATCCAAATACCTCATAACAAATCTCAAGGCTTCATGTTTTTGCATTCCTAAATTCTACTGTAGTTAAAAAAAACTATTTCAGTTCATATTATTGTTGTAGTCAAAGATTTACGCCCATATGTTTGTAACCATTTGAGTTCTTCTCGAACTTTGATTTTTAAATGCCAAGGATTGATCCACGGCGAGTGTCCTTCGTTGGGAAAAAGTAATAGTTTCACAGGTACTCCTAAGTAATGTAGCCCACGTTCCAGTATGTAGCTTTGATCAGCAGGAATTTGAGTATCATCTGTACCTGTTATTATATGCGTGGGTGTACGTACTTTTGCTAAGTGGTAAATAGGAGATTCAGCTTGATATATATGAGGTACTTCCCATGGAAATCCGCCAAATAAATAGCTGATTGACGCAGGTAAATCCATTGTACCCCAAGTAGAGACATGTTCAATAGAACCGGCCCCAGTCAGAGCAGCCTTGAAACGTGTGGTTTGTGTTATTAACCAGTTCGTTAAAAAGCCACCATAGCTGTAACCACCTACTGCAAGACTATTTGGATCAGCAATACCATCTTTTATCAGACGATCGACTCCTGAAAGTATATCTCTGCCTGGTAAAGATAAAGGATAATAACGAATTTCATTAAGAAACTGATCACCATATCCGGTTGATCCTCGATAGTTCGGTTCTAACACTAGCCAACCTTCCGATGCTGCCAATAGAGTCAAAGAAGCTGCGCTTCCATCAAATTGATTGATACTTGCTGCATATGGACCACCGTGAAGGAGAACAAGAAGTGGTAGATTTTTCGATTCAAATTTTTCAGGTGGATAATGTAAAATTCCTTCAATTGCACGATCATCTACATCACTAGTCCATTTATATACTTTATTTTGCGGTAAATTTATTTGAGTCAACAGTTTATTTTCATTTGTTATTGCTTTTGCTGATTCGAGTTTGTTTAGATTGCGAATAAAATAAATTTCTTTTGGTTGTCTGTATGATGAATAGAGGAATGCTAATGAACCGTTCTGATTTGATGATAATGTAATAGATTCATACGTTCCATTCCATCCATGTTGCAGAACTGAATACCTTTCCGGTGATTGTTGTGTGTAGATGTGCACATTTGTACCTAGTTGTCCAAGTATGTAGACACCATCGGATCTCGTCGCGTATTCCACGATATTACCATTGAAATTCCTTGCTAGACGTTCGATTTGCCCGTTCGTTAAATCTACGGAATACAAATGTTGTTGTGTAATGTTGAAATTTCCTTTGGCCAAAATTTGACCGATCTGCCGAAATAATACATATTTACCGTCACTCGACAATTGTAGATTATCCTCAATGACTTCGTTGTTTGTTATTCTTGACAATGATGATAGATTTCGTAAGTCAATTGAATATATTTCAAAATCCTTGACGCTCTCCAAAATTCCTCCCACGGATGTAAATACAAGTTTTTGTTCGACTGAAGAAAACAATAATTGACCAATTAGAAAAGAAACGTTCTTGAGAATATTTCTTTTCGCAACTAGTGTTCGATTTTTTCTATCAATATCGATACGATAGATTGTACTATCGATAGGAGATTTACGTTTTCGATATTGAATCACATCTTTCCATTCGGCTTCATCTAAATCTTCGTCTTCTTTGGTTGATGAAGGCCTAACTGTAGCAAAGTAAAGAGATGAATCATTGCTCGACCATGTCAGAGCGGACAGAATTTCTGTTCCAAATGAAACAGACAAGAGTTGCTCTGAGAGCACACAATAGAAATAAATATACTGTTCGATTTTTTCATCACTTTCGGATAAACGTCGATAGTGATAATGAGTGTGTTGGTTATTTGTCATTGAATTTTCAGTTTGTCGTAGTACAATCCAATTTCCGCTGGGTGACCATTGTGGTTTGAATTCTTGTGACAATTTTTTTGTGATCAGCTTTTTTCTTCGTCCTTGCGTTTCATATAACCACAGGCTATTTTCATAGTTGTTGGAATCCCATGTTAGACGTCTGATATGAACAAGTAACTGTTGTCCATCTGGGGAAAGACTGAACGATGGAAAATGTGTATAATTAAAATATTCATCCAATGTTAACTTGGACTTTGTTGAAGTCGATGAACACAACATGAATTTGAAAATGAGTAGTAAGAACAAATTCATTGTCATTGTTCGTTTCAATCTAAAATCAAGAGGAGGAGTAAGTTGACGGACGAGACTGAAAATGTTGTCGTTGAGGTGTAAATGTACCTTACAATCCGACTCGATCATTGACTACGATGCTCAGATACGTTATTGAAAGTTAGCTGGTGGAAAATCTCTAGTATCGGAAAGGTGGAAGTCATAGTTTTCACTAGCATCAATAATGTATAAAGAAAATGTTGATCAGCGGTATTATACGAATCTTAGTAAATCTAATAGAACTTCAGTTAAAAAGGATTATCAGTGAGATTATGAGAAGACAAATAGGTTAGCCAATACAAATGATTCATTTTTCGGGTAGTCTAATATCTAAAAATTTGGTCAAAAAAAAAGACACTGTAAGTTCTCTCTGTTAATACATACATATTTTTGAACAGGAAAGCTATAACTATTAAATATAAAAAATATAGATTTTTATGAAAGTATCTGTACAGGAAAACCCTTTAAGTAAATCAAACGAGCAATGAAATTTGATTCTGATAATGCAAGAATGAGTCAAAAGCAGGTACTGTTAGGATTCAGGGCAAGTAATGGCAGTTTCAGAGTCAAAATTTTCTCTATTCTATCGTACTAACGTCAATGAATCCTGTGAAATTTTCGCTCAGACTCTCAGATACATCGTTCTTGCCCGTATAGGTTTCATGAAGGTTCGAATTCTTTTGATTGAGATAACCGAAGAAAGTTTTCAAACTTGCTTCGTATATCTATTAAATCTTGTTCAAAACTTTCCTGATTGCCATGATCTTACGGTGTGCATGCTTCGTACAGAGTTTTAATAATTCAATTTGAGACATTATAAACTTCATGTATCTGAGCCGAAATACGGATATACGTATTTCAAATATAGTCTCTCGTTAGAAGTGCAATTCTGCAAATAGCTCTTTCAATAGAAAGGACTTAAAGCGAGAAAAGTTACATTGTGATAAATCATCTACTTTTATTACAGAGAAACCAATGATCCAAAACAATGTTAAAAGAAAGCGAAATTGCAAAATACATCAACGTCCAAACTGAGATTACGTTCAATTTCCAATTAATTATAGGAAGCATGTCGAATCTGGGATAGGCCTGAAATTGTTAAGCGAATCTAAGATTGGATCAATCCGATATCGCCCATGTGATTAGAACCGGAAAAAACCGGCGATATACCGCCGGTTGATCGAACGGTATAATGTGCGCTCTACCGCCGGTTGACCGGCGGTACTGCCGGTAGTTCCAAAAAAACCGGCGGTATACCGGCAATATACCGGCGGTAATTTCATTCTTTACCGGTAGAATCAAGGCTCGAGCCTATTAATCTGCTTCTTATGAATCTGAGAATGAGTTTATATTATCGTATACAAAAAATTAATTTTATTACACTTTATCATTAGAAAATTTATTTTTCTGTTTTTATTCCAGTATTACATTTGGTCTTGAGCGAAATATAGGTCTTACTAAATTCTCTCTTCTCGGAAACACCTGTATTTCACTCAAGACCAAATGTAATACTAGAATTAAAATAAAAAAAAATTTTCAAATGATAAAGTACAATAAAATTAATTTTTTGCATACGATAATATAAGTTCATTGTCAGATTCATAGGACAATGGATCGTATATTTAATGATAAACAGTTCCGTTTGTTGCTACATTTTTCCGACTAAATAATGCTCAATAGATTCTAAATAAAAAATAAAATAACTCTTAAAAAATAAATAAATACTTTCTTTTGAAGTTCCAAAAATTGCTCTAAATAAAAGTAGAAAAAAAAATAAAATAATATTTTGCATGAATACGTACTTTTCATTTTGGATTGAGATCATTGTAAATAAAACAATAATATAGTAATAATAATTTATATAATAAATACTTACCGCTTATGGCAATGTTCACAATTCTCTAAATTAAAAAGAACGTTATTATATATATATATAGAGAGAATTTTACTATCAACATACCGCGGTAATCAATAAAACCGCCGGTATACCGCCGGTTTTCACGACTACTGCGGTATACCGGCGTTAGTTCAAGTAAATGTGCGACATGGGCGGCCTGAAAGATAAGTATGGATAGTATCGGAATGACTGAATACTAAGATGTAGGAGTTGAAAGGAATCATGCATGAAAAATACTCGAGAATAAAAAGATTACGAATTTAAGTGAACACGAAAATCACACGATAAAATGAAACATGGATTTGGACCAATTTTCTAAGTTCACATAAAAAACAGCATGTCAAATAAATGTCAGTGATACTTGACGGTATCCAATAGTAGCCTTAATCAACTTCACATTTGATTTGGTCCCAAAATTCATTGTCAGTTTTTTCATTAATGTCTTTTCAAATCGTCTAGCACACTGCCACAATAATAGTACGTCGATCGGTTATTGATGAACGCAAGATTTGATTTCCAGAAATTTTGAATTTTTTTGCAGAATCGATGAAGTTTGACATCAATATCACTTCTCTTGTCACCCTTCATGCTTCAAAGCATGGAAATCTTACGATTGTAGTCAAATGTTAGTAATAACTTTTCTGGATAATTTAATTTAATATAATTTTGTAATCGTTTAGTTTAAAGCATCATTTCCATTCTCGATTACGTTCGCAAGCTCAATCACTGTTTTGCGAGTCGGTAGAATAGCAGCTACCAATAAGTGCCATTCAGAGAAATGAAACCGTACTTTGAAATAATACCTGAACACTTGCTTTTGTGACGCTGAATTTTACATGAATTTTGGCTCAATATTCTCCAACACTATTTTAGTTTAACTTTTGCTCCGTAAGTGGCATACATCGAAGTAATAGATGTATTGCGGAATGTATTAACGATGTTTCGATTCCAGTTCTATATTGACCTAGATCAATTTGAAACTCGCTGTTACTTATCTTTCAGTTCGATATTGGTTTAGTTCAATCTTACACAGATCATATATATATATAAATTGTGCCTTCAATATTCTTTCGGAGATTGATACATACCTTTGTTCTGACTGATACTCCTTTAGCAATGACTATACAATCGTAGATATTTGCTTAATGCATTCTACTTTATCCTTCGATCAACCAACGACAAGTATACATGTATATGTATACATAAAACACCTTTCAAATGGATTAGAAGATGCAATTCATATGATACTGCATATTAAGTTTTCTAGCCGTTATTGAGTATTATAGGACAGATTGTTGTTTTGCTGCCCTTCATGTAAAGTTTAACATACATCAACATAAGAGGATTTGCCTTTTGTTCGTTCGCAACATTTTGGCAACGAAAGATGAAATCGTAGAACAATATTATTTTTTTCCTGTTCGTACGACGCATTGAGACGTATGACTTCGAGTACTACCAGCAGCAGTGAGTGGGTTACACTTTTTTGTAATCCTGATACTGAAGATTCATGGTAGACTCAAATAGCCACGTTGTTTTTGATGAAATATTTTCGGTGCATTCAACGATGTATTCAAGAGATTAAGCATCACTTTTGAACTCATCAGTAGTAATTTCTCCCTTTCAATGAAATAAGGATATGTGAGTAGGAGCCATCTCTTCATTTACACAAACATGCTACACCCACAGTCACCCACACTAGAGTTCATTGTATCCAAGATTTTTGGATCCAATCCCAGCAAAAAAATATTTTTAGACCCAGTACGGACCCGAGCTGGTCCGGATTCGGATCCTGCCCGACGGGCTCTAACTCACATCCACCCACACCCTTCATTGGGAATTTTTACTGTGGAATACAAAAATATCGTTTTGATCATATATCCGTTTCGGCAATCTATAGCACCTTCGCATTCAGTTTCCGACCAATGATAGCTTTTGGAGTATTGCTCTGAGTATCATCACAAGGTTCAATCGTTTGATATCAATAGAAGTTTCAGACTACAATTGGAATGATGAACATCACCAATTGCAGCTCCACAAATTGCTTGTCCGAGCACCTCATTTATACTCAGTATAATTTATTCACTGCTATTCTTTTATCAAAATGTCATCATTCATAAATACGAATGCTTCAATTCACATAGATGCAAACGGTCAAGGGACTTATTATGATAGAGAATGTGATTTATTGAGCCGTTCACTGCTGGGCAAACAATGTGAGACGCTTTCCATCAAAGTTAACAACTCATTATGTATGTCTGATCTTGTGAAAACAATGACCAATCTTCGAGGATTGTACATCTGCCATATAAGATGCGGGGATTTCCCGGAAACATTGATGATAGATGACCTTGTAGGACAGTTGCGAAATTGTCTACCATCAACATGCACGATTGTCGAAGATTCTGTTAATTACAACTATACTCATGTGTGGATTCGTTGATTGGAAAATGAATATTCCTATATAAAGATCGACAAGTGCAGAGTAAAAATAAAGGAGCACAATTGATTTAATCGAAATTCGAATTCTTTGTTTGAGATTTGGGTCATGCGAGTTCAATTCTCGTTCTTCAAATCCGATTCAAG